AGAAAAGTATGGATTAAATTCAAGAACTTTTAATTTTTTGTTCGGACATTTCAGGAATTTTGCCTCATATATATAAATATTCATTGTTAATAATGGAAATTTTTTTTAGGTAAAATATTTATTTTGAACTTACCTCATCAATTTTTTTCGCCAAAAAACAATATGTAAACTAACTTCGCGAAAAATTCATGATGTGAGACATGTGTCTTTACCGGGAAATATAGTTTTGAACCAAGAAGCACTTTCATTTTCAAATTAGAAGAAACTATGCGAACGCTGCGCCGCGCGCGACATGTTTCAGAACTAATAGCTTACAACAAGAAAACGCTCATTTCACATACACGAGATTGGTCTCCTGTAGTCTATTCTCCACGTTCTTAACATATATCCCTACCTAACTTATCGAAAATACGCTTATATATATATACATAAACGCAGAATATCGCAGCGCAGACACTTATATACATGTTTCACGAAGGTAGAAAATTTTCTTATACAGATAGATTTTAAGGATTCTCCCTGGCAATATAAGGAAATGACACAGTCTTACCAAATTTTGACAGTTTGTTCATTAGATTGATTCAGGGAGTTATGATTTTTTTCAGAATTTTTTACCACGTAGTTTTTTAGAAAAAAAATAAAATATATGACCAATTTAACATGGGCTCTTATGGGAACGTGTATAAACCATAGGAAAAAAGTGTGATGGAAATGACACAAAAATCTGAAAGTTGGTATACAGGAAGAAAATATGATAAATTTATTAACTGCACAATATAAAGAAAGTTTACCACATAGTTTTTGAGTACATAAATAATAAAGTTTGATTTTTTGTCATAATAATAATGGAGCTTCTACAATAGGTCCGAATGTAAAGTGCAAGTACAAGTCCAAGTCCGTGTAATTTTTATTTTTTTTAAGATAATTGATGGTAATTACTCATTATTAATTAATTAATTGTTAAATTATTAATTAATTACTCATAATTTAATAATCAATTACTATTTATTTTCAAATATCCTACAAAAATAAAAGTCAACACGATGCGCGCGCAACAAAGTCCGAGCCACTCGGACTTGGACTTGTACTTGCACTTGTCTCTCGGACCTATTGTAGAAGCTCCATAATAGTAAGTGTAGCAGACATGAAAACGTGGCAACTTCGCAACACGTGTTTGGCACGTTTGCGCAGCAACTCGCCGCGAATTTCAAATGCGAGTATACAAGTCGACAAATTGATATTTATATTCAGATATTTTTTTATATTATTTTTAGAAAATAATGGATTAAACTGCAATTTTAATAGAATATTGTATGTTATGTTTAATTTGAATGTTTATAAAAATTTAATTCTGATTAATTATTGGAAAATAAAAAGAGTGATAAAAATACAAGTACATAACCTCAAATTATAATTAAATATTTTTGTCAAAATAAAATATAGTTCAAAACTACTACAATCACAGTTTTATTTAATTGGATATTTGTTTACTAATTATTATCATGCAAATTGAAATAAAGTATAATAAATAAACTATTTATATGCTTATATAAGGTTAAAGAAAATTCCATTTTATTTTCAAATTTTGAGGTGAACGACTTATATTACAAATTTCTTCCCAAGAAGCACGTAATATATCCTCAATATCAAGGTAATATTACACGTGAGATTCGTAATATAACGCTGTAATATTACAGTAATCTTACAGTGATCTTAAAATGTCCGCCTCAAGATAATATTACCGGGAATATTACTGTAATATTAACGGTAATATTACAGTAATATTAACGGTAATATTACAGTAATATTACAGACTGATTTGAGTTATTCATAAAGCATAAAAAACGTAAATATATTATAAGTCAATTTGGCTTGTTGGTAAAACTCTGGACTCGTGTGCTTTGAGTTCGGGGTTCGATTCCCTGGATGGGTAGATTTTTTTCGTAAAGAAATGTTCCCATAATATTACTGTAATATTCTTTTGTAATATTACCTTAATATTACGGTATAATATTACTGCAATATTACCTTAATATTAGCGCGTAATAATACAGTAACATTACCGGTAATATTACCTTAAGGCGGACATATTAAGATCACTGTAAGATTACTGTAATATTACAACGTTATATTACGAATCTTACATGTAATATTACCTTGATATTGAGGTTATATTACGTGCTTCTTGGGTTATAAGTAAATAATCTTATTTTCATTTCAATTTTAAGTGTTTTATGGAAGTTCAACAATTAAATAATAACATATAACAAAAAATTTGAGGTTAGCTGTCAGATCAGGTGTAGGCCCAATCTGTGTTACATACATACATACATATATACATACAAAGAACAGTCTTACCAACCTTACATAAACTACGCGACGAGAATGCGACGTTGCCATGATTTCAAGTACTTTTTAAAAAATTTAATTAAATAGAATTTATAATATTTTAGTAACGAGGAAAGCTTATTATTAATTTAAACACCTTTTTCTAAACAATTCTCCTATCAATAAGGACAAGAACCTTACTTATCAAATAAAAATTTATTTTTTCTAAGGTTGCAAACTTGTGAGCCTTCACACGGGAAGAATAGAAACTATCCCTTTACTCCGCAACACCCCCTGGAGAATCCTTACTGCACTTGAGAGAAACGCTTTATTTATTAGTTTAAATTATATGCGCTATTATTTTTCATTATTCATAAGAAAACAATAACTAACTTAAACTAAAGTTTAAGAGGTCATTTTTTAAAGTAACAATGATTATGAATTTCTTATGATTTCTTATAAAATTCTTGATAATCTAAACAACCAGTACTCCTAATTTAATTAATTAGTGAATTGAGTAAATATTTAAAACTTTATTAGCAAATTTTGAGAAATGTTTTTACTTTTAAAAATTAATTACTACTCGTTATGTGAACTTTTAAGTTGCTCGGTTATAAGATCTACATTCAATTCAGTTTAATCTTAATAATGATTAAAGCTCGGATTAAAGAAATACAAAATATATTTTACATAAATTCGAAAAACAAATCATTTTAATAAATATAACTGAAATAGAATGAATGGAAAAAAATAGCCAAATACAGGAGTATTTCCTTCGGTCCCTCTCCCCCAACCTTCTTTTCTGAAATTTTCGTATCGGCTATACCAAAATATGAAAATATTGAAGCAATTAACGTAATCATTTTATAATGATCTTTATGGATTTTTTGTAAATGCTTTTAATCTCTTTAATGTCGTTACGAATCTCGAGGATATTGCGTCTGACATTTTGCAGGTTGCACCAACTAGATATCACATAACACAGCCACACAAAAAAAAAGTACCCGGGACGGGAAATGAGACCATCATTTCTTGATGTATTTTGATGCGCTGAACACGAATCTGAAGTCCGTTTAGCTCCATCACGTCAGGATTTTGACATAACCTCAAAAAACATAGCTGATTTTATATGACAGGAGAAATTTTTTAAATAATGGCAGATTTGCTTGAATCTTGTTACTCGGGGTTTTTTGGGGTCGCTGATTACGAATTTAACGTCAGATTTAATAAATTCAAAATGGCGGATCCAATATGGCGGACAAATTTTTAAAAAGTAGTTGGATTTTTACAAAAATTGGTATCATGGGGTTTTTTGGAGTCGCTGATTACGAATTTAACGTCAGATTATTCAAATGTAAAATGGCAGATATAGTACGGTGGTCAAATATCTTTATGTTTCTACATGTGTCTGCATCCAGGGTACCTCCACGCGGTGACGGTGGACAACGGAGTTTGTCCGCTATCCGGCTAAGTCCCTGGATAATGGCTTTGATGCCGTCATGGCAGACACACGTAGGAAACGTATTACGATGCAGGGACTCGGAACCCCAGTATCGGCCAAGTTACATAAAAATTCAACTATTTTTTAAAAACTCGTCCGCCATATTGGATCCGCCATTTTGAATTTGAATAATTTGACGATAAATTTGTAATCAGCGACTCCCAAAACCCCTAGATACCAATTTTCGTAAAAATCCAACTACTTTTTAAAAATTCGTCCGCCATATTGAATCCGCCATTTTGAATTTTATAAATCTGACGTTAAATTCGTAATCAGCGACCCAAAAACCCCCGAGTATCAACATTCAAACAAATCTGCCATTATTTAAAAAATTTCTCCTGTCATTTAAAATCAGCTATGTTTTTTGAGGTTATGTCAAAATCCTGACGTGATGGAGCTAAACGGACTTCAGATTCGTGTTCAGCGCATCAAAATACATCAAGAAATGGTGGTCTCATTCCCCGGCCCGGGTACTTTTTTTTTTGTGTGGCTGTGTAATTAGTACACTTAAACTCACAAAAGCCTGATGCTGCAATTTGAACTGAACGAGAAACAGTTAATCAAATTAACTTTGTTTGATCGATTCGAGAGCGACACTCAAACACGTCTGACCTCGACCAAAGTGGGCACGAGACTCTAATGTTTATAATAATGAAATATTTATTAATTAATGAAATTTATTAAAAATAAAAAATATCGACTTTTTCAATTTTCGTTGTAATAAAAATCGACTAAAACGACTTCTTTCTCTATCTAAAGTCAATCCGAGGGTTGAATTAGGAAAATTAAAATTCTTTTTTTAACAGAAAATTAATTTTAAAATTTAATTTAAAAAAATTAAAAATTTCAGTTTCTTTGAAAAATATGAATAAAATCAAGTTTTTAATATTTTACAATACGGTTTTCGGTTTGATAAAATAAAAATTACTTGCATTTTTTAAGAAAAAAATTAGTTTAGAAGTAATATTCATTCTGTGGAAAATTAATTTTAAAATGAGTTTAAAAAATTTAATGTAGATTTGTTTGTAGAACTTTAGCTTGTTGTGACCTAATACGCTTGTCCAAAACGTTGAAACAATGCGACGAGTCTTGCATTAAGAATACTTATATTTAAATATTAACAATTATATTATTAAAATTCTACTTTAACTATAAATATACATTTTTTCAGAATGTTCGAAAGTGGATCGAAAAAACTTCCGTCAAGTGACACACGAAATTTGCATTTGGAAGGATTATATTTGTGATGGATATCAAAATTGTGCCATAGATGGCTGTGATGACGAGAAGGAATGTGTTCGAAGTATAGAAAATGATGGCACAGGAACGAAAGTTACCGTTGGTGCCGTAACAACAATATTTCTATGCTTTATTCTCTTTGTTACATGCCTTTGGATATGTAAGAAGCACAAAAAGTTATGTTGGTCTTCAGATTGCGCTGGACCAAATGTGAACACACCTAATTCAACTGTAGATAATGATAGAATACCTCCTGCACCAACAGCTCCTATGCTACAATCATCAGTGTCTTCTGGAGTCCAAGATAAAGATTTGCCGCCAAGTTATGATTCACTTTTTCCACAACAGTCTAATACTGCGATTTTGTAATTAAACTCAACAATTCTGTCGGAATATCCTTCGAAACTAATTTATTACGTTTCCATACTTTCTGAACACTCTGTATATCTCGATTTTTTAAATATTATTTTTAAAATATTCCTTGAAAAATTTATTTATATCGATAACACTGCTTATACGAATTCAAAAATACTACGTAATCTTTTTACGCATATTTTAATTCGCTTTTTTCTGTTTTCGTAAGTAATCTTCCAGAAGATTAAACGCTGTATAATTATAATCAGACTTCTTAAATTGAGAAGTTATCTTCTCAAGGCCGAAACTTAATTTCTATTTTGTAATTTATTATTAATAGACAAACTTTTAGAATTAAGAATGTATGGTTGTGGTCGAAAATTAAGTGAATGGATGTGCGTAGTATTAGAGTATTTTTGTACATATACAATTATTTTTTTCAAAGCAGCCTTTTTGTATCAAACATACAACTTAAGTAACTTATTAGATTTTGTAAAAGAAGAAATAAAGGGCAAGATAAATTAATTTTTAGAGCACATTGCACTTATTTTAAAAATATGCAATTTACAATACAGATTATTCGTTAAAAAAAAATTTTACTTTTTTTTTATTAAAAGCAATTTGAAACCTCAGTAGAGGTTAAAGCATACATTTGATTAAATATTTAGATTACACTTGTTTAAAAAATAAAAGATATGATTACACCCCGCACTATTTGGATTCGCTATAAACATTTCTACATTGAGAGGTGGAAATATCTTTTTTTTCCTCAATTTCGCTAGGAGAATCGATCTTTGAGTTTCGTAAATAGAACATTAAATAGAAGATTTATCTTCTTTTTCATAGCCACAAGAATAAGAGGCATTTCCAATGATACCTATCCGAGCTAAAGAGCTGGCCAAATTGTAATGATCAGCTCTGGAACGATTTATTGAAGCTATATATTTTCTAGTAAGGAGTTTACCATGAAACCATGGTTTCCGCCTATCTGAGTAATAATTTTGAAAATAGAATAACCCTGTATTAAGCCCTTGTTCCAAAATAAAAAATTTCGTTTGTAAATAGGATGTTTTTTTAAAAGATTCAAAAAAGTCAGTGAAGGGAATTTTTATGCAATTATAATGTTGTCATTGTAGCAGCTTTTGCAAATTGGTCTGCTTCCTCATTTCCTCGAAGCCCAATGTGTGACGGAATCCAATAAAATTTAATATAGCTATTATTTGAATTTTCTGTGTGGAATTGTAAAAACTTTTTTTTTATCAAAGATATATGAATTGGTTTTGATATTAAGATTTATTAATACCTTAATAAACTTTAGTGTTTCAGTTAATCAACTTTATTAGTAAAATATTCCTATTTCTTATTTATTAAGGTTAAAAATACATATTTTTCGATACAATAAATTTTGATAATGTCAAATGTTTACTTTAATTCTTTTTAATTATGAAATGAGATTTTTTACTTCTTCTTCTTCTGAATCTGTTTCTTTTCTTCTTCTTTTTCGACCTTCTCTTCCTGCGATGTAACTGGCGTCTCTTCAACCTTTTCATCTTTAATCTCTTCCTCAGGAGCAGTTACGATTACGGTAATTTCCTCCTCTGATGGAATAAATGTTGAATTGTTCTCCAACATCCAGAGTACACTGTTGATCACACTATCCATTTCCACTGGATCACTCGATAAAGAATGATTGTCCTCGTAAATAAGCATCCTGCATGAAACAATAATTAATATAATGTTAAATAAATTAGATAAATCTGTCTTAAGGACTAAACCCTAGTAAAAATTCCTAATAGAAGTTGATAGTAAACCATTAGTTTTCAATAAATGCCATATGGTGTTTTGTTATATGAGGTATTTCATATGAGAATACGGGGTCATGTCTCGAATTTTTCTTAAAATTCGGTAAATTTTAGTGATAGTGGTGCTAAATAAGTGTACAAATTTTGAATTTGAAAATTTTAATATTTTTCGAGATATTTACAAAAACAAATTTGAGCAATATTTTTTTAATTTACTTATAACTTTTTTCCTATTAAAAATAGAGATAAATGTTGTAAATGTTTTTTACGTAGAAGAACTTAAACTTTCATAAAAAAATTATTTTTTTTTAAATATTAATTTTTAAACAATTTGTTTAAAAAATAAAATTTGTTTATAACTTTTAAACATTTTCTCCCTCATTTAGAAGCGCGTAAAAAATCATGAATATTGTTTAAGTCATAATAAATCGATGGTTAAATTTTTGAGATAGCATTATGTTTTGTTTTTGAGATATTAATTAATTAACTAACAAAAATTAATAAAAAATGAAATATTTTACGAACAAATAAAATTAGAGTAATTTTAAAAACACCATTAGAATGCTTATCAAAATCCGCATCCAATGAGCCATATATGAGCTATTTCTGATAAACGGGTGTTAAATTAATAATTACAATTATTTAAATAATTAATAACATTTTATAAAATGAAGATAAACCGTCAATTCTTTTTTTGTCTTAAAGATCATCTAATTCTGTGACAGAAAAAGAATATTAAGTATTACCAAGAATCTTAAATTAATTATAAAATGTTATTTAGGAAAAGACTGAAAAATGCCATGCCGAGTAGGTACGCATCCTCCCCCAACTTGTGTCGTGGAGTACTGAAACATCGATTTTCAATAATCATCTGTTAATAATTTAGATTTGTTAAAAATGCTATTTACACTGGTTTTATTTAACACAGAATTAGATGATCTGCCAAACAAAAAAAAGAATTGACAGTTTATCTTTATTTCTTCAAATGTTATTAATTATTTAAATAATTTTAATGATTAATTATTATTATTAATTTAACACCCGTTTATCAGAAATAGCTCATATAGGGCTCATTGGATGCGGATTTTGATAAGCATTCTAGTGGTGTTTTTAAAATTACTTTAATTTTATTTCTTCGTAAAATATTTCATTTTTTATTAATTTTTGTTAGTTAATTAATTAATATCTCGAAAACAAAAAATAATGCTATCTCAAAAATTTAACTATTAATTTAACTATATTAACTATTATTAATTAATTTAACTATATAACTATAAATATTCATGATTTTTTACGCGCTTCTAAATGAGGGAGAACATGTTTAAAAGTTATAAAAAAATTTTATTTTTTAAACAAATTGTTTAAAAATTAATATTTAAAAAAAAAATTAATTTTTTTCTGAAAGTTTAAGTTCTTCTGCGTAAAAAACATTAACAACCTTTATCTCTATTTTTAATAGGAAATAAGTTATAAGTAAATTAAAAAAATATTGCTCAAATTTGTTTTTGTAAATATGTCAAAAAATATTAAAATTTTCAAATTCAAAATTACAGTTTTCGGTCAAGTTTGATTTGAACCAAATATTGCACCTAAGTATATAGTGCAGTATGCTAAAAAAATAAATACTGCTAAATTAGTAATTATTTAGTTGCTTTGTGGAAGAATTATGTTAAATTGAACTTTAATAATAGTAATAAATATATGCATATTAATTAATTATTATCATTATAATTAATTATAATAATAGTAATGAATGTGCATATTAATTAATTATCACAGGCCAACAAAATTAGCAAACTTTTTTGGTGCGGCAAATGTCAGACCTGTTTCTGATAGGTTTTTTCATGCCGAACACGAATCCATAAACGAAAATTTCCTATCAGCTCTAGTTTTTGAGAAAAACGGGTTTAAAATGTTCAAAAATCGCGTTTTTGGCTAACTTTGAGTACCTCTAACACTGAAACAAAAGGTCGTAGAACCTTCCACTTGGGCTTAATTTGAAGCTTAATGTTTTAACTATTATCCTCAAAAATGACCTATCTTGCACCATAACCTCAAAGTCATTTGTTATCCATTTTTGATTCCCAAATATTAATTTTGTAAAAGTTTGATCGCGTACATCTAGTCCTTGAGGTTAAGGTGCAGCAATGTAATTTTTATGAACTACAGTCAAGGGATAAATTGAATTGAAGCTCAACAAGAAGGTTGACCTTTGATTTTATTGACTAGAGTTATTCAAATATTACCAAATAAGTTCTGTAGTTAAATACTAGTTACCAACAATTTTGAGGTTATCAGTGAATAATATAATTTTTAGGGCTTGTAGTGTAAAGTTCAAACTTTATTTTAAGTTCAAATAAAAAGTTCTATGATCCTTTTTTCTTTGCTAGAGGTACGCGCTCAAACTTTTACAAAATTAATATTTACGAATCAAAAATGATAACAAATGACTTTAAGATTATGGTGCAACATAGGTCATTTTTTGGAATAATAGTTGAAACATTAAGCCTCAATTTAAGCCCACGTGGAAGGTTCTATGACCTTATATTTCAGTGCTAGAGGTACTCAAAGTTAGCCAAAAACGCGATTTTTGAACATTTAAAACCCGTTTTTCTCAAAAACTAGAGCTGATTGGAACTTTTCGTTTACGGATTTGTATTCAGCATGAAAAAACATATCAAAAACAGGTCTGACATTTGCCGCACCAAAATCAGTGTTGGCCTGTGTTATCAATTAAATTTTAATTTCACATATATCTTCCACAAATCAACTAAATGATGACTAATTTAGCAGTATTTACCTTCTTTTTAGTATGCTTTTACTTTGCTCTAAATCAAACTTGAGCGAAAAACCTGATAAAAATCGCTCATAGTTTACTTGAGATAATCCGACAGTTTCTTATTAATCTTAATAACTATTTTATTTATATTATACATATTCTTTTAAGTTAGAATACAAGTAATATTTTACATACTTTGTTTAATTAAATATTTGCTAATGTAAATTTTATTAATTGAATACATAAATATATGATAATTGGACTAAAAATGTTTTTTTATCAATAGGTATAAGTATATTTATCTATTATAACTTTACTGTTTAATTTTTTAAAATAATAATAATAATCAACAAAATATGTTGATAAAATTCAAAAAAAGTAATAAGATTTATTATTTTCATAAAACCGTATTCAGTTTTACGATCTCAATTAGGTTAGTTTAGCTCAGGGGTTAGGTATTCGGTTTGCGTTCGTTAGGTTGTGAGTTCGATTCCCTGCGTTTGCGAGATTACTACTACTATTAACGATTCTCTGACTATAAACCTCACTTATTGTGGTGTTCTGTGACTGCAATCGTAAAAAATTAGTCTCAAAACGTCAGAGATCCTGACTAATTTTTTGACGTTCTGTGATTTTATTTTTAGCAGGGTTTTCACATATTTACATGTGTGTACGAGAGATTTATACGGATTTTTAATTTTTCGAATTTTAAGATATGCTGATACATTTAATTGACCAAAAAGTATCCAAAACCAATTTTGTCACGCTCAGATTTAATCCAAATTATATGCTACGGATTTTTTTTTAAAACTACATTTAGCTAAAATTATATTTAAATTGTCTATTATATTCTTTTAAATTGTTCCACTATATTTATCTTATTATTTACTATAGGTAATTGTAAATGAGAATTGCTGAGCAAAGTAAAATTAAGAAATTTAAAATTTTTATAAATTTAAATAGAAAACAAATTAAATTTAACAACAAGAATTAATAATTAATTAATATTTAATTTCGGTCATAATTTTAGCACCTAAAGAATGGATAAAAAATCCAAGAAAATTGGAAAGTCATAAAAATTATAATAAACCATTTTTTTCCATATAGAATATAACAATACTATTGATTAATTATTATCGATCAAGTTTAATGTTAAATTATAATTATTATTCAAATAAAAATATAATATATATTAATAAGAGACAATCATATGAACCGTTCGCTGAAAAAACGGCTTACGCGACTTAAGCTGTTTTTTAAAAAACTGTTTCTATCATATTATTTATCATATAAAGTAAAATAATCAATTATAATTGTTGATTTACTAATAAATTTAAAGTTTTATTTCGAATTTTAAACTTAGGGCACATGCAGCAGTATAGTGAGCTGCCCCAGGCGGATCGACGGCATGGAATGTGCCGCGAATTCGCGGATCATTCACTTTGACTGAAAATATTGTAGAAAATCAATGGAAATAGTAAAAAAGTATTATTGAATTGAATAAATAAACTATTTAGTGATTTATTTATGCAGTACTTTTGCTAAATTAATGTTTTATTATTAAATAAATAAAGTTTAAAGTGTATGATGTTCGGATAAGAGTGTTTGATATGCTAGGGAGTTTTGTAATGATATTTCAATTCATCATCAGCAGTCATACCCAGCAAACACTGTTATATAATAGTTATGTAGCAATTATATAACAGAAAATCACAGGTGATAAACATGTGATTGAAAATGTTGTAACATAAGGGTCTCAGTGATATTACTGTTACAAGCACTATGATATAGCAGTTATGTAACTTTGTGATAAAAAATTTGTGTTACTTGGTGATAAGTGCTTTGTGATATGACAATTATGTAACAGTGTTCTTTTACTGTTTTCAAATTATATAAGAACTTGCAACTTTGTCGTCCGCAAGCGGCCGACTACGTTGCTAGTGTGCATTAACCATATTTTTTATTCATTTTTTTTCAAAAAAATTTAATATTAGAAATGTAAAAAAAATTTCTTTATATTGGATCTACCACCCAAGTAGCAAGGAATATTGCTCGAATGTCAAGCTGATATCAAGCGGCAATATTTTTGTGACATTCAGGCGATATCATAATGTCCTCTTCACGGGGACA